CTGAAAACTCACTAGGGTTATGGTTAACAAAAGTTAAAGAAAATTTTAAAGATACCAAAGTCATTACAAAGAATACTATAAATAGTTATAGAGCAGGGGTCCCCAACCCCTGGGCCACTGACCAGTACTTATCCATGGCCTGTTAGGAATTGGGCAGCACAACAGGAGGTGAGTGGCACCCATTGAGCATTACTGCCTGAGCTCTGACTCCTGTCAGATTAGTGGTGGCATTAGATTCTCATAGGAGTGCATGCGAGGTTGTCCGCTCCTTATGAGAATCAACTAATGCCTGATGATCTGAGATGAAACAGTTTCATCTGAAAACCATTCCCCCACCCTCACCGGTGCCTATTGCCAAAACAGTTGGGGACCACTGTATAGAGACAAAAGGGATTTGACATAATTGGCATTTCTAAAAAAATTTACTTAGACATAATTGCAGAAAATTTTCCTGAAATAAAAACTGGGAAAAAAGCACTGAAGAAAATCTCTTGCTGTAAAGAAACACCATCCAAATTTCAACAATTTCTTCAGTTTTACCCTCCTATTTTTATCTTATATTGATATAAGTCAATTTAATTTTGTATTATTTAGTGACAGCACATATGTCATATTGGCTTCTACATTTATAAAACTGTGTCTTTTAATCAAGCAATATACTCTTCTAGACAAACATATCCAAATATAAAATATTTATAATTTCTGGGTGGTAGAATTTTGAGATTGTTTTTAAATTTCCGCAATGTCTATCTTTAACAGTCATGTATCACTTTTACAAATGACAATGAAGTAATTGCACTTAAAAAAAAAGAAGAATAGAAGGCAAAGTTTAAGAGAGGAAAGAAAAAAATAAGAGCTCTCTATTGTTCCACTACCTCTAGATTTGTGGCCCTCCAAACCATAGTTCACACAATAATCAGGTGATTTCTCTAAAATAGAAAAATAAGGATGTTAGTTTTCATAGTATTATCCTTCAAGATTTTTAAAAAATTGCCACTAATCCTGAACAAATTCCATTATTTTAGTAATTTACATAAAACTCTCCCTAATCCAGGCCGTTTCGGTCTTTCCAACATCAACAACTCTCACTTCCCTGCATTCACCCTTCCCTCCAAACACTGAACTAAGAATTTGTAGAAAGAGTTTCCTTTGACTTTCCACATCTTCATCTCTTCTCCTGCCTCAGGTGGTGATAAAATTGTACTTTTGTTTTTTTGTTTGTTTGTGGAAGTGGGAACGGAGGCTATAAGAACTACAAATCCTTCTACAAAATTTAGTTTAAGATTATCTCTGTGAAAGCTTCTCTGCTATCACTCTTGTCCCTCTCCATCAACAATGTTATTATGTGCATCTTTTATCCACCTCTAGATCAGTGCTATGTGAGCAATTTTGGAGCCTGAGGCAGAAGAAAATATTATTACTACTGATTCCATTAATTTATTTAAAATTTGTATATTCTGTTCGTCATAAATTTTTTGCATTAATTTTGATTTTTAAAAATATTGACTTAAATATTAGGTATCTTGATTATTGAAGTTTGGGTGTCCCCATATATATTTGTGCCTGAGATGAGTATCACCCTAGTTTTGGCCTTGCTGTATTCTACTGAAGAATTTGTTACACCACATAATTTTTGTCTGTACATCCATCATCTCTACCAGACTGTGACTACCTGCAAGGAAAGGGGCTAATTTTATCTCTGTATATCTAAAAACCAGCACAGTTTCTAAACTGGGCAGGGGCCCACTTAGTGAATAAAAGGCCAGGAAATCCCAGAAAGGAGAAATAACCAATATTCTACAGTCTTTAAAGAATACAATCTTCCCTGGGGAAGAATACACTTAATCTAAATGGAGAGATGTTATACATATTTTTTAAGGTAAGGAAACCTTAGTTTGAAGCAAGCCATGAACTTAAAGTAATCAAGCGGTAGAACTAAATTTTTGTCCATAAGCACTTATTTGTGGTGCAAACTATTCAGTGTTTTTATTACAAGAGTATGCTTTTATTTACTATGAGAATCAGAGAATATTAAAACTGAAAAGCTCTTAGATATTACATAATCCACCTCCTCCCTGTTATAAATGAGGAATCAGTCTTAGAGAGGTTAAGAGACTTGCCAAAAACCACAAGACAGTCAGAACTTGTAATTAAGTGACCCATCTCCACACCTGGTGCCTTCTACTTGAGATTATTCACAAATTTAGAAGAGGAGACCATTGAGAACAGGAATGGGGAGAGCGGAGATTTTTTTCTAGGCCAGAAAGAATTGGCCAGCTCGTGGGTAAAATAAGCCACAAATAAATTTTTTATGCATTGTTTAAAATGGGGTCACCGTTAAGGTAAGGTTATTGAAAAATGACCTTTCAAAGTTCTTTCCAACCCTGTGATTTTATCTTTGTCATTTAACTTCCCTATGACTCATTTTATCAAACAAAGGGTGACTCTACTCTCTACCTACTTTAATACAAGATTTGTGAGGTCCAATTTAAAATATACATTATTCAAAGTACTATGTATATGCACAAGTGCAAGTCATTTTAAACTGCAGATTAATCATGTAAATATATTTTTATACCTAGTCATGCCTGTAGGAAATTGAAAGTAATTATGTAGCACTTAGTGGCCAACTTGGACTGCAGGCACTAGGTCCTGAATAAAACTATTCTGAATTTCACCTTAAAAGAGTTATATAAAGGTACCATTCACAGCCAAAATTATTCATTATTATTCAGAGATAGCCAGAACGTTGGGTGCCCCTAATTATTCTTGTGACATTTTCTAACAGGGAAAAGTGACTGGCTCTTCACAAAAGTGTTTTTACTTGATGTACCTCTGGGTTATTGGGAAGATAGAAATGATGACCAAAATAAAAATCACTGAATGAATTCGATGAAATTCAGTTAAGGAAAGCAAGCAACATACTACTACTATTATCATCATCATCATCATCATCATCATCATTAACGTTGTGTGCAAATGAAATAATTTATCTTAATAATAATGTTTAAGCTTTCTAGTTAATGTGTTCTTCAAATTAACAATTAAGAATCCTTGGTTAATTTTGTCCTTTCTCGTTCTTTGGCCACCTGATTTATTTTTAAACCTTCATATGTAAAGGTAAGAAAAGAAAATCTATGAGTTCACCTAGATCTCCTGTCTACAAACCTAAAATCATTTCTTTTTATCTCTTCATACTCTGTAAGATTTGTAGAAGAATACTTCTTTTTTTAAAGGAAGCCAATGAATAGTCAATGAATTATTTCTTAAGATAGGCCAATAGATTAGCAAAGAGTAAGAGTTCCTCACCAAAACAACAACAACAACAACAACAAAACAACAACAACAACAAATAAAACAGCCTTTTCATCAGAATAGTGAACTATCAGTTTCTAGCATAGTTCCTGGAACAAAGTACGCTCTGAATAACTAGCAGTGAATCAATTGTGCTTCCAACCAGATTTCCAAGCATTGTTCTCAAGGCCAGAAATCTATTCACATTCATGAAATAATTTATGATAACCTTTTTTGTACAAGTACTCTTTATTAAATATATACATATATACAGATGTTACCAGGCCTAATTTTACTAGAATCAGTTTTAAAATGGGGGATTGGGACTGGATGATTTCTACAGTATCTTTCAGCCTTAAAATGTGTTGATTTTATGGAATACCTAGAAAGACAGCCAAGAAAGAATTCTTAGATATGACTTACAATTAATATTTGACATTTGCACAATTTTCAGGTCTCAAAAACTACTATTATAAGGTAATGAAATAACTGAAAAATCGATGCCAATTACCTACTATCAATTCTTTTCTAAAACAAACAAACAAACAAACAAACAGATAGAGAGTGATTTCGTCTGCAATGTGGCCATTTCTATCAATATGTTCCCTAAAACACCCAGAACACATTCACTCATCCATTCCAGAGCAGATAGAGAGAAGCACAGAAGAAAATCTAAAGGCAATATGACGAAAACCAGACTTAGGTTGAGCTGCATAGACAGTTGCAAAATTTTCAATTAAGTTGTTAAGCCTACCTAATGAGAAAGAAGTCAGTAGATGAAAATCCTAATAAACCACATAGCAGGGTCAGTGGCATTCTACCCCACAGCTATATTTTCTTTACTCCTTTCATTTGCCGCTCTCTTAATTTTAAAATATTCACCTTAGTTATAAAACCTTAAAAAAAACTCCTAAAAAACCAACATGAAGACTGCCCAGAATTACAGAACTACAGACACAAAAATTCTTCAAAATACAGCATTTCACTAGTTAATATATAGATCTATGTTGGGGAAAGCACCTGAAAATGACCGTGCTGAGTTCCTATTTCTGATGATTCTGTGATTCTGATCAAATTCTACTCTGTGACTCTGATCAAATTTGAGACAGTTAATCTATTAAGTTTTATACTGCCCAGATTTTTACTTTCAAGTACACAATGCTTTTCACTTACAGAACAATCTGTACCACATTCTCATCTATTTGGAAAACCAATTGCTGAAGTTGTACTAACATGTACTTATCTCAAAGTGGTTATGTGAACAAATATATTTGTTATCCACTATCAGTATAGGAGGAGAAAATATTTTGAATATGTTGTCAGACTCTAAATAAATGTCCTTCACTAAAGAATGCAATGTCCTCTGCTAGTTTATGGTTCTTTGGCATGCATTGAGTGTTCTACTTTTTAAGTAATATTGTAGGTAAAGGTGCAAGAGCTTTCCTAGAGAGACAGTTTCTAGCATAGTTCCTGGAACACAGCAGGCTCTGAATAACTATGTAGTAAATAAATACATACCTGAATGAACTACCATGAAAAAGAATTCATACAATGAGTTAAACTTTGGCTCAGAGAACAAAATTTCAAATTAACTGTTAAGAACTGTTTGGCGAACATAAGAAAGGGAACACGTTTCCTCTGGTCTTTGTCTTAGTTTTTTATGCTGCAGAGTTTTTACTCTATTGATCAGCGTTTATACTATTCCATTTTTTTTTTTTTTTTTGCCAATGTTTCATTTAACAGGAAAATTTCTTTTCCTGAAGCTCCTAAGAAGATCACCAAAGGTCACTGCACATGACATCCAATAAACAATTCTCGTTAAGGGCAGTGCCACTGGGAAATTTAGGGTGGCAGGTTGATATTCATCGGGTAGATTTTTAAAATGTCATAGTCTGTTTTCAAATATCAATGAAAAAATATGTGCCACATGTCTCTAATAGCTCTATTTTTCTTATCCCAACTTTCCAGGATGGTGTGTATTCTATCTAAGTGAATGCTGAGTTCTTTTAAAATAATTTTTCTGGAAAATAAAAACATAGTTCACTTTTTCACTGAGGAATTAACTCTCCCAATAACTGGCTTATATCTTTAAATGGAAAAAATTACATAGATTTTTTTATTTTAATAAAGAATAGTTGTTTATATTTAAAAACATTTAAAAAGACATTCTGCATTTTCATCATCTTTTAGCAAACTACTATAGCAACAAAATTACATTAGACTTTCTGATTTCTCCATAGTGTCCTTAGATAAATAAACAACCCAATAAACCATGTTAAATGCCCCAAATGTGACTGGAAAGAGAATACGGGCATATTTGTCAATTTTACTTGTGCCAGATCCAGAAGGTGGTGGAGCTGATGGAGGAGGAGTAGCTGACAACTTCCCAGCAGCCCCTATGGTATTAACTGTGGTCTTAATCCTCTGCAATCTTGATCCAAACACGTGACGAGTAGAAGCAGATGCAACTGAAGCCTTTCGAGACACATATCCAGTTCGGCTAGAAGCAGGAGAAGTAGATGGAAGTGCTCTTGCCGCAGATATGGTTTCAGCTGCATTTGCACGGCTGAATGGGTTTGGACTGGAAGCTAAGTAAGACCGAGGTGTGCCTTTAGAAGATTCTTGAACAACTGTGGAAGATTTGCTTGAATGGTTTCCCACCACAGTTCTGTTGCCAACATCAGATTCAGAGTGAACCGAAGCATTTGTTCTTTTTCTCATGTTCAAATTGGCATTTGTATTCTGAAAAGGTATATGAAAAAATATATTGGTTATGTAACTTTATGCAGCTTTGTACAAAATTTAAAGGGATCAAAATTCTTAAAATCAGTCATTTCTATAAAATAAAACTTTATTAATAAGCTGTAGTCACCTTGATTTTAAAAAGCTTTAAAATATGTAACTAAATATAACGTGCATACATTTGAAACTTTGAACCAAAAATCTTCTATTTCAAAACATGGTCTATTCTTATAAATAATTAGACCTTAAATCTATAGAAAGAAGATTAAGTTGTTAGAACGACAAGCTGATGTTATACTTAATTGCATTTTAAGAGTTAATGATTACTGTTCTAAAAGTTATTTGTTTAGTTTTATTGTAAATAATATTATGTATATGTCATATACACTTCAAATTTCTCTATGTGTTTACTTTATAAACAGGGAGAACCATACCTAGTCATGTACACAGAATACCAACAATAACAACTATCCATATGTACATAACATTTATTTATTTAAAAAGTCCAAAAACTTTGATTTCCAAATCCTTTGAATTTACTGTCATAAAAGGCATAGGTAATTATACACATTATTTTAAAACCTAACAACCCTGACACATTTTATTTCTCACTTCAATTAATAATGAAAACACAAATAAAATTTAATTAGAAAAGGTTGCATTAGACTTATAAACAGCATCAACGAATAGTTGCATAAATATCTGGATTCAAACCATTAACCAATAGTGATTAAATTGAAATACATTTCACTGGTTTTCATAAAATTATTTTCTTTGTAGAACAAGATTGTATTTGAAGAAAGTTGTGCAGCAAGCCACTAAAATTCTTATAATATTGACAGCCACAATAAACAACTATGTACATAATTAATTATAGATTCTCCATGCTAATGAAGGACAGTAATTTCTCAGATGATCCCCCAAATAGTCACATCTGATTTTTTAGAATATATGATGATATTTCCGCAGTAATTTTTCTTCTCTATGTTTATTCTAAGCTATATTAATGTTAGATGATAATTACTTCTGTAACTTCTCCCCTTATCATTTCATGAAGTAGATGGTGAGTGAAAAAATGGAGAAATAGAGGAGAGAGAAAGAAGAACAGCTCATAAAAGGGTGATTGGAAGAAGCCAGCCTCAAAGGGCAATTCACAGACACTAATATATGAAGTGGGTAGATTATATATAATTAATTAAGATCTCACTTTAGACATAAAGGTTTACTCTATAAATGTAATCTTTATTAGTACACTCATCTAGCATGCTTAAAGTTCAACTCATATCTCATAAATCATGACTACAAGGTCGCTGAGTAGACAAAAACAGCCTCACAAAACAGAGTCAATGTAATGTAGACTCTGACAGGTGTAGAAAGCATTTGTCATGTCAACTTGGCGTATTCTTCTAAGCAGGTTGCAGTTGAACTAATGAGCAATCGTAGCCTAACATATGGCACTGAATTTGGGTGGAGAAAATTGAAATCTAAATTGACATCAACCTAAAAGCTGAAGAACCATTACTTATCCTTCACTTTTCCTCTACATAGAACATTATAAATGTCACCTAATTAATCTTTAGATTTTGAATCACTTGTTACAGAAAAGGATAGTAATTAATTGATTATCATTGATCCTAAAATGTTATACACATGGTGAATAATATAAAAAAAGAACAAGGTATGTCCTTACAATTTAAAGAGCATATATAATCTTTGGCAAGGAAGCATACATATGCAAATGATACAATAAAAGAATATAACAAAAGGTAAAATATATTCAAGAGCCAAACTATGACCAAATGCTGAATATCCCAAGAAGAGAAGAAAAGAGAGTAAAAATGATAAATTGGACAAACAGGAAAGTAATACATTTTTTCAAATATAATATGATAGTTGCATACTGTCTTCTTCTTTCAGTCAGTTAGGTTTTTCATGACCTTTAGAAATCTGTATGTTTCCTAACACTAAATTCTAAGGACTGGAGACTTTCCCTGCCAGTAAAAATGAAGTAACAGGAACTGAATCTACCTTCCTGCCTAAAATGACCCCCAAAACTTGACAAAATGTGCAAAAAAACAAAAACAAAAACAAAAACCAAAACCTGTTGTTTGAAGAAACTGGCCATTAGACAACACAGAACCATAATCACTGAGAGGGAAAAAGCAAACTTGAGAGAGTTGCCATGCTGTGGTTTAGGAATGGAAAAGCCAGTAAAAAACTGGCAGGCTTCCTGAACTGAAGAGATGAAGTTAAGAATCTTGGGAGACCAAGGTGGCTAGAGTTCACAGGACAAAGTACCAGAGATAAGAATGCTAAACAAAGAGAGAACTCTAAAGATCTAAAGAGAGTCCCCATTGAGTATTTTACCAAACAAAGATCAGTTTGTGAGTGTGAGGTAACTACCCAAGGCTGAAAGGAACCATCTGAAATGATTAGAAAAAACAATATCTGACATTCACCCAAAGCCAGGAATAGTGCATGTTTCCACCTGCTGGACTAGAAAATGTCAACATTCATGTAGCATTTGGTAGAGTACGTAGAAGTGGCTGTCTTAATAGTATAGTATAAACAGCCTCAAACACTGCTCTTGTATTGTCTAATGCATTTTAAGAGCAAGAGTAGGAAGGATCAAACTGACTCCAAGTAACTTTACTGCCCCCCAAAACAAAGTATTAAAACATTTAAGTTCTTTTGTTCTAGACCAGTATCCTTCTGGAATGTCCTGAAATCTTGTAAATTGTGTTCTATATAATAGATTGGCTTCAAAAGTGACACCAATTCATCATTTCTCTCTATATTCATGCCCTCAATATTCATGCTCCATATTCAGGCCCAGGAGTTTACCCATTCCTGACCCATCCAGAGTTGGAGTCTATTTTTCCATAAGCTGCCTAATGACTTTCTTTGTCCAACAGTATGTGGAGGAAATGATAGTTTGCCATTTCCAATTTTTAACCTCAACAGTTCTTACTTGCTTACACTCTTTCTCGAAACACTGCGACTACCACCATAAGAACAAGTCAGCCTGGCTAGCCTGCTAGAGATTGAGAGATCATTTGGAGAATAGCCAGTTATCACAGTGAGACAATCCTAGAACACCCAACAACTAGCTGACACTAGATTCACTAGTGTTCCGTTAAGAGAAAATGAGCTGCCCAAGCAAGCGTAATCAAAATCAACAGAATTCACAGTTGATCCATAGACTTGGGAGCAAAAATAAATATTTATTGTGTGTACCTGAAGTATCTTTTTTTTTTGTTATGCAATATTATTGTGGCAATAGATAGATGAGTTAGATCAAAGGTTCTGATGGGAGGTGCAGCCAAAGGGCTCATGAGGGCAGAAGTTCCTCAGACATTCTAGGATACTTAGAAGATTGGCCTGCCCAGAACTCATAGAGGACCTTTAGGGGGCACTGTTGCCTAATCCACACACTAGCTGAAGGACCAAGATGCTTTGCCCTCCATAATCCCACACTTTAAGAATTACAATATTTTAAAACAGAAAGGGATTTCAGTGATCAACTTATTCCATTACTTCATTTTCCAGTAGAGAAAAGTAAGAACAGAAAGGTTACAGGTGGCTGGAATTCACACAGCAAGTGACTTACTTGGTGTCTGTTCTGCCTCATTGTAGAGGTTCTCTACTTACAAATGTGGAGGAGGCTTTAAAGAACTTAACAAGCTGCACATATTTGAGTCAGTCAAGTATTCATAATAGTATGATGTTAAGAAAAATTATACAAGACTTGGACATCAGAAAAAAATACAGCATGTCTTTTCAATGTCATAATAGAGTATTGTTTAACAAGCCCACACAAGGATAATTAAATCTTTAGAATCATTTACTTGAATTTGATTTTGCCATTTAATATTTGATTAGAACCCAAACACTGTCAAGTTAACATATTCAATTATGGATTCTTGTCTAGTACAAAAGATCACCAAAGGTTATGGTTTTATTGCCTTGTAAGACATTAAGCACTTCTGTATTTAACCTACCAGTCTTATTTTACTTTTCCTTTTAAAAAAAAAATTGCCTATAAGTAGCCATTCCTCAAAATGACTTTGAATCCATTTTACCGTCTAAGTGGTTCTCTCATTAATTAACCATTGAACCAATCTTGGAGACCTGTCCATTCATTATTTGTAGGTCATGTTTTCGACAGTTGGAAAACTATATTCTGACGATATCTACTATTGGGTAAGTAATAAATATCAAAGAAATAAAAGCTTAGATTTGAATAATATGCCTAGAGAAAGAGAAAAGCCTAAGCAAAAATAAAAAGAATCAGTATAAGGTGGTTAGAAAAAAGAACAATGAAGTAAGAGACTTTTTGAGAGTAGGGTGAGCAATATGAACAGTACCAAAAAGATTACTGTCTGAAAACAAAGATCAAGTATTTTTATTCCAGTTTAAAAGAAGTAATGATAGAGCATAAAGACTGTCTTATCAATCTTTGTAGATTAATGCACACAGTAGGCACCTACTTCATATTTGATAAATTGCATTAAAATGGATATCCTGTAGAATCAAGATCATTTTTCAAATTAGAAAGTGTCAAATATTTTTATCTTATCTCCAATTTATTATTTCTTTTTCTGTGGGACACATCTTCAGAATATTGTAGGTAGTGCCTAAGGCATTTAAGTTATCTTGACTCAATCTCGAGTACAGCTGACAATGCCTTAGAAGTTTCACTATTTTGTATACCATATCCTACATAAAGGAAAGTGGAATTAGACTGATTTGAGACTTAAATCATTGCTCTCTGCCAAGCAGTTAAATGACACTCAAGTTATTTTTGTAGTTATGTCTCAAGTTTTACTCTGTTAAAAGTAGTCATTTTCCACGATGACAGACCACAAAAGGAATAAGGTATCTGCTGATCTATCTGGCAGACGACTCACCAGGAAGAATATTCACCCAGCCTTCACATTTTGGTGCAACTAAAGTGTCAGAATGATGTTGTGTTTCATACAGAGTGTAGAGACTTCAGT